AAGAAGCCAAGATTCCACACATCCAGAAACAGCGTCCGCACCAGCAAAGAACAGGGAAAAAATGGAGAGAGCTTGGCACAAACTGTCTCTATTTCTTTGATTTTTAGTTAACATAACAGAACATTTATCGAAATTGATGTGTAAACCAGAAGCTGCAGCAAACTCATGTAGGACATTAGCAAGAATGTGACAATTGTCTAATGTCGTCTCACCAAAAATTAACACATCATCAGTATATAAAAGGTGAGAGAGATGAAAGTTGTCAGCTTTAAATCCTTTGAAACCACTAGCATCTAAAAGATTGGAGAAGGCATCCATCACAATGCAAAAAAGGTATGGGCTAAGAGGGCAACCTTGCCTCAGCCCGGCAGAAGAGGGAAAGAAACATTCTAAAGCACCATCAATGACAACATAAAAATTTACATTAGAAATACAAGCCTTAACCCAACTGATAAAAAGCTTAGGGAATCCTTTTTGAATCATACGAGCAATTAAAAATTCCCTAGAGACAGAGTCAAAAGCTTTTTTGATGTCTATTTTAGCACAAAATATATTACCGGCCCCTCTCTTATTGACCAAAGAGAGGATATCATTAGCAAGTAGAATGCTATCAGTGGAGACTCTAAATTTCACAAACCCCGCTTGCGTGTCTTTAATAATAAAAGGCATAATAGGATTAAGCCTACAAGCAATAACTTTAGCAATGATTTTGTAAATAGTGTTGCATAAAGAAATAGGCATGTAATCAGTAATAGAAGTTGCATTTCTGTGTTTAGGAATAATAGCTAGAGTTGTAGCTTTTACCCCACTAGGAATATGCCCCTTGAGAAAGAAGTATCTGATGGCCTTACAGACGTGCTGACCAATAATGTGCCAAGCAGATTTGTAAAAATAATAATTGAATCCATCTAGCCTCGGGGAGGAATTAGAAGAGCCCTTGAAGACAGCAGTTTTAATTTCTACTTCCAATATAGGAGAAGTAAGAAGGCTATCATATAAGTTTGTAACAACATTACCAATAGGAAAGTTATCCAACGAAGAGAAATAAGGAGTAGGATTGAACAATTCTTGGAAGTAATTGATGATGGAGTTAATGTGATGCCCCAAGATCTAACTTGGAAAGAATGTC